AAAAAAAAAAAAAAAAAAAATATCACGCAGACTAATGCAAGAATAGACAGATAGATCAAGGGGACAAGGTAGAGACCAGGAACAGTCCCATAAGAATTTAATGTGTGACAAAAATTTCATTCACATCACTGGAGAAATTATAGATTCATCCATTCTTTGTAACTGTTCAGTGTTGTCAGAACTAGTTTTCTTGGAGTTTACAGTCTATTAAGTTTAAAACAGAGATCCTTCATGTGGTTGGTACTGTGTAGGAACAGTAAGAATGATGCAGTGGAGAATGACAGGAGCCAGAGGGGGGAGTCATCTTGGCAGGCCTCTCTGAGAGGCAGCATTTACAGCGAAACCTTCATGCAGAGGAGGAGCAAGGCCGGCCAAAGAAATAAAACAGATTTGGCCTATTCGTGGAACAGAAAGAAGGCTGGTGTGGCTTGCAGGTGGTGAACGAGGGGAGGGAGGTGAGAGAGGTGGGCACAGAAGCAGGCCGTGGGTCTCACTGAGTGTGCTGGGAGCTGTTGCAGGCCCTGAGTACACGAGTGACTTGGCCTAAGCCCCCATAGTTTGTTGCCAGATGGGACTGTGCTCAGAGTTACCACGGCTTCAGATTTTCCAGAGAGGTTGGAAATCTGTATTTTAATGTGAAATCTCCCAATTTTTAAAGACTGACCATTAATCCAAATCTAAAACACTGTTCCAGCTAGAACTTTATAAGTCAAAAGATAAAAGTCTTGTTAGCCACCAATCTTTATCCCTCATATAGAACACCTCCAATATGCCTGATAAGAAAAGGTGTCAGGGTCACAGGCTGGCCCCTGTTGAAAGCCACAGCAGGCCAAGCTGGTGGCCTAATCCTAATCCTCAGAACTCCCCACAGTTTTGTTAAGCACTGAGTCCTCTGTGAAAACCCGGCATCTGCATGTCAGGAATAGTCTCCTCCTGGGTGGAAAACTGGGCTGAGGGACCCAGAAATTGCTCTTATCCCACAGCTCCGTGACCCAGTAAGACCCTTAGCAAGCCTGCCCTCCTACCACTGAGGAAATAATTGAAAGAAAGGGGCGACTTTGGAATAAACAGTCATCCTTCTGTTGCTGGTTGAGTGGAAGGAGGTGTGGCCCACAGTGGGAAGTGCTCTCCAAGGTAACCCACACTGCATTTTGTGACAAAACTTACCAGGCCCTGGCAGTTCCACAGACTCAGTTCCTCAGTCCCACCCAGCGAGCAAACTGGGGGCCTGAGCATCTCTAGGAACTTGGTGAAGAAATAGGGTCCATTTCTTCAGCGGCGCTCCTAAGAAGCATTCCTCAGGCTGCTTTCCTCTCTAGAAGCAGAGAGCAGCGTGGGAGTTACCACGTGTGGCAGGGTGTGCGGCAGGCAGTCTGGTTTCTCGCAGCCCCGTTTTCCTTCTGCTCTCTCTTGTTCTTCTCCTGCCACCTCCCTTTTCTTCCCACACATGGAATTGATTATAAACGTTTCTCGTGTTCTGTTACCTTGTTTCGGTGCCATAGCATGCAGCTGCCCCTCATTTTCATGTTGAATTGTCGTCTTCTACCCTGAGAAAGGTTCTGTATTTGCTCAAAATAAAGTTCGAAAGGAAGGTCAGGCAAATACAAATCCCTCCGATTTCCTCTGGTAGCCACAGCCAGAGATTTTGTTCCATTTGTCCCGTTCCCATCAAAACCGGGATCAGCCCCGTTTCCTTGATTCTCACCAGGAGACCGATTGAATTCCAACCCAGCATCTGTTGGGGCTTCTGGGAACACAAAGCCATTCAGAA